ATATATATGGGGTGCTGTGTGTACATTAATGAGGAAAAAAAATTAACTTAAATGATTTTAGCAAATGGCTGCAATATAACAAAGAGTGAAAAATTTAAGGGGGTCTGAATACTTTCCGTACCCACTGTATATATATATATATATATATATATAAATGTAAATGTACACTACCATTCAAAAATTGTAAGGTTCAGTAAGATTTTACTTTTGAAAGAAAATAATACTTTCATTCAGAAGTGACAGTAAACACATTTATAATGTTACAAAATATTTCTATTTAAAAAAAAATGCTGTTCTTTTGAACTTTGTATGCATAAAAAAAAAAAAAATGTATCACAGTTTCCACAAAAATATTGTGCAGCACGACTGTTTTCAACATTGATAATAATCAGAAATGTTTCTTGAGCAGCAAATCAGCATGATTTATTGAAGATCATGTGACACTGAAGACTGGAGAAATGATGCTGAAAATACAGCTTTGATCACAGAAATAAATTACAGTTTAACAGATATTCACACAGAAAACAGCTGTTTTAAACTGTAACACTATTTAACAATATTACGGTTTTGTACTGTATTTTTGATCAAATATATGCAGCCGTGGAGAGCAGAAGAGACTTCTTTCAGAAACATTTCAAAATCGTATTGATCCCAAACTTTTGAACTGTCGTGTATTTTCCAAATCCAGATCCATCTTTTGTAGCTTTTGTTTGTCTGTTAAGTTTAAAATTGTCCTTGTTTCTGACTGAAGAATGAATGTTATGTGAAATATTTTAAGCAAATAGTTTACCTGTGTACGTCTCTTGTTGAACACAGGTGCTGTAATGATGTGTCAAGTGCTTTTTATTTATTGTTAGAGCCCATATTAAAGAACTAATGTCATATAATAAGTAGAAAACCAGTGATTGATCTAAAGTATTAAATACACACTTTCATAAGACTAGACGGTGCCTCTCTGTACAAAAAACAAAACATGATTTTGGTGCATGGCAGAACATGATGCACTCTCGCATTTATGGAAAACCCAGATATGAAACCATCTGTTAAATTCCCCTCTAAGCGAAAGCGGCACAAAAACATCAGGCAGAGAGAGGCATGCAAAAACGACAAGCCATCGGAAAACTGCCAGATAGAAAACAAGGATTAGTAAACCCTTAAAAATAACACATACGGCAGTTAATTAGAGCTCCCAGCGGAGCACTTGAAATTGAAAAATCCTTATTTCCTCTCTTTTCTCTGTCCGGCGTGCAGGAATTAATATCATTCATTGGGACGGAGACTTTGAATTCCTTTCGGCTCAGATCAGATAACGACTCGACAGCGAGACTTTAATCCGCACCAAAACACCATCCCCATCCGCCCGCTCCTGTCTGACCATTAAAAACTCTTTCTTTCATTCCGTGGCGGGTGTCAGAAAGTTGACGCATCCTTCGGCAAGAGCAGAGAAAGTTTTAAGCCGCTGGGGTCACGTGAGGAGCTGGCGTGTGGGCAGGAGATTATGTGCTGTTTGTCAGGCAAAACAAAAGCCGGCGGATCAAGCGCTCGTGGGTAATTAATCGCGCTGGAAACCGCATGCATTTATCGCTGCTAAACGATTTGCCTGGTGCAGAAGGAAAATTGCATGTGCATAATGCTGTCGTGAAATCTGACCGTGTGTGTGTGTGTGTGTGTGAGAGAGAGAGAGTGTGT